CTACTTTGTGAACTACGTGTGTGACACTTTAGCGATGGGCGAGTTCAGTTATTTAACTCGGTTAACTCGAGTCACTCCTTTAACGAGTCAACTCGAGTTACTTTTTCATTAACTCGAGCTAACTCGGTTGACCCGGCCCGCCCGCCGCCGAACCGAATACTTCATTCATACTCGAGTCGCGAGCGATGGGCGAGTCGAGTTACTCTCACGAGTCAACTCGAGCTAGCTCGGTCGGTTAACTCGAGCTAGCAGTCAAGTCAACTCGAGTAACTCGAGTTGAAACAAAATACAACTCGTCATCGCTAGTGACACTCAGTGACACTCACAACACACCATATGGTGAAACTGACAGGACTCACACACTTAGGGTGGCTTTCCACCGGCGAGCGAGACGAGAATAACGTATGTACAGGGTCAAGAAGCACTTTAAACTTGACACTTAAGATTTAAATTCAACTCTACGCTGCTTACGATAAGACCGGTTCAAAGTCAAAACGTCCTTGACGTGCGCTTGACTGTGCAGCATAACATTACTTCGCTATTATTGTCATGTTGTATGCATAACCGAACATCTCGTCTTGCTTCGCCGCGCCCGGTGGAAAAACATTTTTAGATGCTAACGCATGGGCTGTCATTGTCACGAAATAATTTTCATATATATTTCTTGTAGCCTTATTTGAAATTGTTCAATATTAAAATAATGTAAAAAAATTACATAAAAATAAATTGTATAAATTATACCACACAACTAAAGAACTCTAAATAGACTTATATGCTAATAAGAAATACTTAAAATTTATTTTTGCATGGTTCATTACAAAAAAAATGTGAAATCCCTACAATAACGCTGAATACTATTATAAAGAAAGCTGTGATAAAATCACATAAAGCAAGAAAATTCTCTATCGCAAAATACACATTTTTTTTGCAAAAGACGGAGAAAAAACATTTAAGATCGATTTCTCAATGAGTTATTTAACTGGTACCACAATGTCAATGTCCTATTAAAAACATTAGCCAGTGCTCTTTGGAATTTGACATAAAAATTTCATTTCACGCATACCTCGTTTTTGGTCTTCAGTTCAATAACGAAGCTTTCATACAAAAACAACATGCCACGATGCGTGAATTTCGACTGCCATTTACGTTTAACGAAATACAAAAGTTTTGTGTGTGAACCTGTGAACATGTCTGCAATATGTCTGACTATTTAGAAATATTTTTAGATTTAGCTTAGTGGCTGTAAATAATTTAAACGTCTATTTTCGAGCAATCCATGCCATGGATTATACATGACAAACAATAAAAAGGTGAGTCCGTGCCCCGTTGCTGCGCCTTGACATCAAAATGTACTCACGTCTTTCTTCCTCGTACATAATGCTCGACTTTTTTATGTCTCAGTGGCCTTTATCTCGGACTTTTGTTTTCTTTTGTCCTGTGTTGATACGTTGATCGACTTTGTGAAGTGGAAGATTGTGAATTTAATATTGTATATTTATATAGCTTATTCTGTTCGACAGATCGATAAGGAGACTACTTACAACGAAGTTATATATTGTCGTCCGTGCGAGAGACGTACGTGTGAATAGTAGATGTGCGTGTCTCGGACATTGAGCGTAGCGCTTCGGGCGCAACGTCTGTAATCGTGCGCCTGCAGCACCTCCGCCCTCTGTACCACTGTAGATATTGCTGTACAAATTAACATAAATATGGAACAGCAGAGGCAGTGCCCTGTCTGCACGCTTTTCTTACATAATGGGATGTCCCTCGAGGTTCACCTGGACACCCACCCTAAGGATCAGGTCATTAAAGCGCTGTGTAGTAGTCTTTCGAAAAATGTAACCTATGGCAGTAGAACACCTACACCTCTGCACTCAGAGCGATCCTACAGAAGTAGATCAAGGACACCAGCTACTGATGACAGTGGTATGAGGTGGAATTCATCTCGCAATAGTGAACATGAGCGTTACTGGCGCAGGACACCCAATAGGTCTCCAAAAACTTCTAATCCATCTCGAGATGACACCCCTACTTCAGAGGACCGGAGGAGTTTGGGAGAAGTGAGCTATGAAAACAATGCCATAACCAATTCGGGTCAATACTCGGGCCATTCCTATATAATGAAAACAGACAAGAATCTGCAAACCTACACACACAATACTCCCCTGTCAGACTATGACCAGCAGTATGGATATTACCCAGAACCACAGGAAGATAGGGAGATCAAATATTCCCGTAGTGCTGAATACAGTGCTATTGATAGCAATGTATTAAATTATGACACTCCTCCTTTAGCTCCTAATATGAAGATGCACAACACAATGTTACCAACAGCATCTAGAAGGAGTAATGACCTTGTCAAATTGCTGCCAAAGTTAAATAATTTTCATGTAAAATCAAACATGGGTGGCATGCAATATCTGCCTGCAGGTGTGAAACCAATGCATGTGGTTATGCCACCAACACCAACTTTTGTTCAGAAGAATGTCCAAAGTAACATGATTTTGACAGGGAATTTGGCGCCTTCACAAACTCTCGATAATAGGGCTATGGCTCCAGTTATAGCTAGCAACCAGTTCAATCAAATGACTTCTGGTACTTTTACTCCTGGAACCACCGTAGTAACTCAAAATTCTCAAATAATTTACCGTGAAATGGTTCACAACATTGATGGTAAGCCCTTCATACCAAATATGCCTGCTGTGCTTAGTGGACATGAAAATATAACTAATGTGGCTCAGACCAGCTCATTGTACCAGAATTTGATGGTTATGGACCAGTTTGGAAACACCTCTTGCATGTATGCAACTCCTCAACAAATGCAGCAGAAACACTGCAATACTCCTATTTACTCAAACATGCCTCAACCATCCCCTACTGAAGTAAATAATGATTTCAACAAAACCCTTATCATAGAAGTGGGTCCTATTGTTCCCCCTCCCACAATTGCATCGACAACATCACCTTGTATACCTCCCATGCACACACCAACTCCACCACCTTCAAAAATAAGGAAACACAGGTCAGACAGAAATGAAAGTAAAATTGAATCAGGAATTACCAAGGGCCTGAAAATTCTCAGTAACATCAAAGTAGAAGTTCCTGTTCAACATAGCAAAAATATGCTTAATACTATCATGGATTTGACAGGCCCTAATGACACTGAGTACCAGACATTACCAATCCCCCCTGAGAAGATACTTGCTGATGTTGAGGATACCAAGAGAAGTTCTTCCCGAATTCCTGATGAATGTGCCCAATCTTCAAATATAACCTCTGATAATGTTTCTAATACATTCTCTGTGATAAAAAATGTTGGAAATCCTCCTTCATATAAAGATTCCATTAAACCTATAGAGAATAAAATAGAGAATGAATCTTCAGACAGTTTCCCTGTTCCTGACTTAATTTGTAATGAAAAACCATCCATATCACCTTGCAGTGAACTCTCAGAACAGGGAGACAATTCCACAGATCGTACGTCCATGTCACCAAAACCACAGATTTGCCAAAAGCTTCAAACTAATGAAAGCAATTTTGAGAGAAGGGCCAAGTTGGCACCCAGAATATTCAGCAACCCATTGAGGTTGAACAATATTTACGTAAAGAAGAACAAGAAAGTCTTGCAAATAAAAAATGCTAAAAAATCATTCACACCAGCTACAACAACATCTATGACAATTGTGAATGATCCTATGCCTTCATCTTCAAAATGTGTGCCAGAAAACTTTACAATGAACAAACTTAAACAAGATATTAAACAGGATGACATTGAAAAGAGTACTTTGACTACAGTGTCCATTGAAAAGATTAAGGAGAATGACGATCAGCATGAGTTTGATGCTGACACTGAAGAGCAGTCCATGGATATTGAGCCTGTTCCTCCATCAAGTACTAGCAATTCCAGTCATTTTGCAACTAGCGTCGACATAGTGCAGGTCAAAGAGGAAATAAACACGAGTAACGAAGGTGCATTTAGTAATGAAGCTGGTTCTTCAGACAATATAGCACCTTTAGAAGCATTGCGACCAATCAACGTCATTACATACGGTAATATGAGTGCGGCAGATTTCGACGACGAATCAAATCACAGGGAGCTTTTAGAATTGGAAGCATCTTCGAAAAATAAACAATTTGTAAATATGATGAATGATAATTATTTTGGCGATAACATTTATGCGGATTACTTCACTCCGGACAAAGTGGAGTCATTCGACAGAGGATCTTACGCGAAGGAAGGTGCTAAAGAAGGTATGTCTATATGGGGTGAGCCATCACAAAAGGAGAGCGAGTTTGTGTTACCGAATTTTATTCACGAGAGTTACAAAATAGCTGAGAGTCATGGAATGGATTATTCTGAAATGGCAGATGGGGATGGCGATGGGTACGAGAGGGACAGCAAGGCTGACGTACTGAGCGAGGGTCGCAGCGATGGCGAGCCACCATTGAATATCTGCGCGGATGAAAGGATGCCGCCGCGAGGGGAGCTCAGTGGACAGGAAAGCAATGGAGACATGGAGTCGCCTTGGAATGGGGTAAGAACTACAGTTTTTTGTATCTACTTTCAGTCGAACCATGTATCGCTTTATATGTAGCACTCAAAAAAAGTTGACCGTCGTCGCCACACATCTGGACAGTCGGGCTGCGTTTGATTATTATCAGCAACTAAAACACAACAATGAATGGTGCGAACATCTATTTATATTTATTTTGTCAATTTGTTTTCATTTAAAGCATAATATTTGTGTTTTGGTGATAACAGATGTACACTGAGGTGACGCCTTCGGAGCCCTACGATCTGATCGCTCGCGAGAGTTGGGTGTCTGACGGATCTGAAGTCGATTCTAGTGAAAAGATGGAATCTTTAGCATTGTAAGTTACTTTATGATATCGAGTTCTTAGGTTTTCGCGATTGTTACACATAGGAAATGAAACTATTTTTCCGGATTTAAATCGCGTATATTTGTTTTACGTATATTTTTTTGTGTACCGAAACGTCAGTTTGTTTGAAAAAACAAATGTACGCGATTTAAATCCAGAAAAATAGTTTCATATCTTACTTTATGATTTTTCATGTCGTTTTCGGAACTATATTTGTATTTTTTTAAATCTTCTGTGACATGCTGATACTTCATGGTGGCTGCCTTCACCACAAAGTTTTTTTTTTATAATAACGCACACACTCAACATACCCCGCACACATAACACCTGATTCGCGGGTGCCTTGGACACAGATATAGACATATATATTTGAATTATAGAATGAGTGTGTTTATTGATTAATTGTTGTTGTGATCTTAAAACGTAATTAGGTTGGATAAATGTCTGGGGATGATCCTAAATAGGCGAAAGGGTTTAAAAATAGTAAAAAAGCCAAAAAAGCCAATGTATATAAGTGGTCTTTATTAACTGTGGTCAAGGATTAAAATAACTGTTAAAAAATGTGTAGCTTTTTTTTAAATATACATTTTTCCATTTCAGGGAAGAAGATATCAGATTTCCACCACCAAAACCGCCCCGTGTATACACATGTACAATATGTGGTGAGAAATTGCCATCAATCAAAGAACTGAGGACACACAAGGCGATAGTGCACGATATTCATCCACCTACTTACAGTCAGCTGATGGCTGAGCGCACAATCAAGAAGGAGGAGAAGCAGGATGAAATTATGGCTTTGCCAGGTGAGTACTTACATCATATACTCAATACATTTATTGCATTCATATGGTACATGTCTTAAAATTAACATAATGCTACACATATGAGCCCTTTATTAGAGATAACAATAAGAGCAGAGGTAGACCGAGGTTTCAATTATTAATTAGAATGTCGAATAATAATATGAAATAAAAATATGTCATATAATAGAAATACGTCCTATAATAAGCAGAATTATGTCACTTGAAACTTTGAATTTAATTAGATTACAATAGAAAACTTTATAGTATATCATTAATATTTATTTATTACTATAATTTATTATAATATTATTATTTTTATTTGTCATCAAAGTATTCATTTAAATTGTAATAGCATTTATTAATAAGATGTAATTTGAATTTATATACAAACAGTGAATACTTTTCCTCGTTTTTAATAATGGGCGAGAGCTCCTTGAATATCCTCACCGACATGGAGTAAGTAATTTGCATACTATAACATTATTTACCTGCAATAGACATGGCTATAAATCATCGGAGCAGGAGTGCGATATTGCGCTCTCTCTACCATTTACCTAGTGTTGAAAGTTCGCGACACGTGCGAAAACCCGTTATCGTTAAAAACAATGGAGTCACTTGACTAAGGGTGCGCGGTCGGCTGTCGTTTGAATATCGCAACCTTTTTCATTTTCATACCATTGTTATCAATGATTTATTAAGTTTTTTGGCGAATGTTAAAGATCCCCTGAATTTAATAAGTTTTTCATCACACTTGCTCGTAAATAGTTTGATTGCATAGTGGCTAACTTGATTATAATGCCCCAAATAAAAACTTCCGGCCTTTTTGCTTCTCATTACAGCCATGGTCAGTAATAATTTTTTTTTAATTTGTAGCACGACATACTTCCTTACATAGGTCAGGTTCAAGTTAAGTAAGGAGGTTACTTCAAAATTAAAATATTTGCCTGGAATGTTATCTAAACAGAAATTTTATTGCAATTCAGACACATATTACTTAAATACTTAATAATAAGAATTTCTTATAATTGATTTTTTTTTGTATAATTTTTTTTTACAATCCTTGGCTGTATGTATGCTTTTTAGCTTTTCACAACATTTTAGTTCGAGTTGTATTATCAATGGAAGGAAGCTGGCTGTCTATTGATAAAAAAAAACAAAAACCCGCCTTTTGCAAAAACCATTATTGTTGTGTTGTAATCCATTTTCATACAAAATATAAACATTGTATTCATTTCCTCGCAAATGAGATGAAAAACATTGTATGTATCATGGACGGTAAAAAAAAAAAACCAAACTCGACTTATTATTAGCAAAGAAACTCTCGTTACTAATTACTTATTAACCGTCTTTAACACACAATGTACTATTTCGCACACCTTCCTGACTTCACTAGTTTTAGGTTTTTAATATTGTAAATTTGTATTGTATTTATTTCGCAGATAAGTTATTATTTTTATGTCAGTCTTTTGTTTTTTACGTTTTATTTTTCGTGGACAACATGTCTGAACAAAAAAGCAAATGTTTAACAATTTGCGACTACTTTTTTTTAACCCATTATAACAAATGAAATAAGTGTGTTTCCTTGCAGTGATATTGGAAACAAAACTAGCCATGATCGTCTTTTATTTCATACTTTGGTAGATTACTTTTCAGCCGGCCCTCGTATAAATATACGTGAAAGCTAAAGGATCTTAGCCCATATTTCTGAATTTTACAAACTTTGCTCAAAATCACGCAATTCTAAAAGACATTAAGTTCTATCGTCTATTGGTTTTTTTTATTATATGATTTTAAATGCCCAATTAAGATCCTCGTTTGCTCTTTAATACAAATTACTACAGTCTGTCTTATTTGAAGGAGTAAAATGACATTTATAGGGTTTTCATAAAATGTTAAATAGTTATGTAGTTGGTGTAGATAGTTTTATCGATAGATTGTGAAAGAAGATAAAATGACTGTATTGACATTTTGCCAAAAATGACTGAATTGTGAATGTTACGACGTTCTAATAATAACTAATTAGTTATAGTCAAAATAAGAATAAAGTTTTTTTTTAATTTATTCTTATTTTGACAGTTGGCCTACTAGTATCGAGATCAATTTATATTTAACAAAATTAGCCGGTTTTGATTATCTATATTGAATTTAAATGAAAAACTTTAAAATTATGTCTCCTCTTTGTATTTTTCATGAACATAGTTCTAAGTACAGAGTATGTATATATGAACTTTCAAAACTTGACAATTCTAATGAACTTGTGCTCAGTAATTGGATGAATAATAGTAATTGGTTGAGGATGATTCAAATGAAACAAGTTCGGCTATTTATTCCATAAGCGTGATAAATATTCAGCCGATAGTCGATATAATTTTTATCGACTTCAATCACTAGCTTCTCGCAAGCGGGCAACACTTTAGCGCAATTAACTGTCATTTCACTCCGTCTATCTATATTTTCATCTTTGTAGAATGGTGGTGGACTAGCAGGAGAATAGTTGCTTGTCCGTTGGGAGGTCTACGGTTCAAATCCTTCATCGTATTTATGACTTCAGTTACATACGTACATATGTGGATGTGTAAGTAGCCTCTTGCTAACTTTGAAGGAATACATCGTGATAAAACCTGCACGTCGAAGAATGTTCACAGCCCCCTAGAAAAGGTTTGAAGTCACCAACCGGTCTAAACCTCTCCTAAATGATTATCACTAATTACAGGTTTCTTACCACGATATGATTTTTTTCTCTTTTTTCCCCCCGATTTTTTGGAACGGTTACACGCTTCATGATCGCGGCGCTCATATCTAATCCACACGCGAAACTGAAGTCAAACTAATTTTGTTTTTGTTCTTGTAAGCACTAAGAAACGGATTCCACGCATTATCTAGTTTAACTGGTACTTTGTGATCTCGATGGCTTCAACCTAAACTTCGCCTCTTTGCCCTCAGTACAAGTCCCGGGCAACCTGTTAAACCTGGAATCCAAGGAGGCGATAACGGCGACTATGATGCAAGTGTACAACGACGTGATGGCCGACGCAAAGCCCAAGCTCGAAGGTCTTATCAAGCAGGAAGCCAAACGGCGACGAAGGGACTTCGTTTGTCCTACTTGCAAGGTTTGTAATGTGATTAAATAATTACAGGCCCATGGGACTTGTCAACTTACGTCTCAGGGTGACGGGCGCTGTGACAGTCCCTCTCAGATCTTTCTGATTTAAAGCTCTTGAGTGGCACTGGAATTGCTATGGACAGGCGGGTCGCTTACACCAGGCACACGACTTGTTCGTCCCGTCTCTTAGTGCCATAAAAATAATGTTTCGAGTATATACAGGGTGAAAATGTGAGACAGCACTGCAAGGTTAGCTACTTTCACCATTATAAAAGCTGGAAAACGGTCTTATAAGACTGTCTTATAGGTATTTCGATTCGCATTCGCATATTTTTTAAAAGTGGTATAGTCAGCAAGTTAAAAGGCAATTTTTGCAAAGCTTTTGTCATGCCATTCGATTCTGTTTCTGGTAAGAATAAAAATACTCTGTGGAACCAACTAAGGTAAGCATACTAGTAGTGTCTGCCGCAAACGTACCTATCGCAAAAGATTTTTGCCATCTGTTTAAGTCAGTAGGTCTCACCAATTTGCTTGGTCACAAACTAAGGACTATAAAAAAAAAAGCCCCGCATTATGATAACCCAGTTTTTTATTTGGTTTTACTCAGGTACAATTCAGATATAAACTAAAAGTATTTCATTAACATAGTCATTAGGCACACGACGAGAATGTATCTTACTGGATGTGAACAAACCATGCCAAATAAAATAAGTGTATAAACATTAAATAATTAAACCTAAAACATCCAGATAAGAACCTTATAGAAACGTGAATCGAACCTAAGATAATTTTGTGACAAGTTTATCTTGATCCAACGGCATGTGATGGATTTTCTAATATTATTTGCAAATTTTACAATCTAAAAAGGTGTAACTACCTACTAATACTTAATGTATTACTTGAAATTGAGGGTAAGTAACGTATACTTAACGTGAGCATATATTTTTTCCTTCAGAGCGGGACGCCTGTAAATTCATTATGGTTTTAAAAATAAAACACATCGCACTGTTAATACAATAGTGTTTTAACTCAAAAAGTGTATTTTTACAGAATCGATGAAAAACGAATTAGTCACTTCCCGTGAAATCTTAATAATCCAATTTTACGTTCGGCAATGGTAGAATCTTAAATTTCACATATTTTGAATTACAATACTATTGTAATAGTAGTGCGACATGTTAGTGGTAGTTACGACGAAATGTTTAACGATTTAAAAATAACATTAAAAAAGAACTAAAAATGTTTAATGATCAAAAATTTTAAGAAAGAATTCATCTTGTTTGCTGGATTTATATATTTTTGGCTTACGCGCCATTAAATAAAAAATATTGTCACCTGTGTCCTGTTTTGTCAAAGCGGGATATTTTTAAGTCTTTTGGGGACAGCGGGACACGTAGCTTTAAAGCGGGACTGTCCCACTCAAAGCGGGACTGTCCCGCTCAAAGCAGGACGTAAGGTCACGTTTTGTATACTGTACCCATTCTGAAAGCAGCATCAATATCAGTATTACGTTTGGCCTTTCTTGAGATTTTTCAGGCTAAAACACGCGTTAGACCAGTGGTTCTCAGATTTTTTTTCTCATAGACCACTTTCAAAATTTAGCTGGTTTCGGTGGACCCTCTGCAGCTACATTTCTACCATATACCCAAAACTCGACAAAAATGTGAAGATTAGATCTAATTATGGAAATTTGCAACGCAAATTAGTAGTTTTCGAAAAAAAGTGAGAATTTTATTGATTGTGCTGTGAGTGGATGTCAAAAAAGTAAAGACACGTTGTACTGAATATGGAATATGCAAGTTTTTACAAGTAACAGCCGCTGAGCTTCTTAAAATATTATCTGCTTGCATTGATAGGTGAAGTCAAGCCAACATTTTAGTTCTTCACTATCGAAAGCAGATAAATTTTCATGGACCCCCCCAGCTTACGAATGGTGAACCCCCATTTTCTTGTCACGCCAACGTAGACCCCCGCCGAGTCTCCCGGGGACCCCTGGGGCGTCCCCGGGAGACTCGGCGGACCACTTTGGGAACTAAGGCCTTAGACGAATGTTTCATGGAATATTTCAAAGACTATCTCGTGTTCTCTCCAGGTGGACCAAGGAACAGACGCGGCGTTTCACCAGCACCTGAAGATTCACCCCCTAGAGTGCCTCACGTGTGGCAAGTGCTTTTTTCGGCGTGCCAACCTCGCGCTGCACATCAAAACCCACCTCGGCATCAAAAACTACAAGTGAGCAAAGATCCTTTCGTTAATTCTTAATGACCAGTTACTGTTCACAGGGATGGTAGATTCTGCTTTGAAGCGGATGTACCTACACATGATATTTGAAGCGGTACACAGTTATAATTGAACACATGCAGGTGAAATTCAATGGATAGACGTTTGGTGACCTATTTGCATTGACTTACAAATAAATGGACGACGGGTCTAATACAAAAACCACGAAAAAAATGTCCCAAGTCAACCTATTCGAAATTTAAATTGTATGTCATCGCAGTATCGCGCTGTCCGTAGAACAAATGAAGACTAAAGCGGAGTGTCGCGCTCTGTATACGATTTTAGCGCCTTACAAGTGCGGACACTTTTTAGCACGGACCCGACGTCCATATAATTGTAAGTCAATGCCTATTTGTATTAGATTTTTTTTTGCCTCGTCAAAAATCAGCCTCATTGCTCAGCAGACTGAGGGGCATCACCAACACCATTTTACACCTCACACTTTATAGATATGATCTGCCTATTATGGAATCTTTCTGCCACGCTTTATAATTAACCTCTAACCTAGTCTTTACGAGTCTAAACATCGTCATCTAAATCTCAATCTAATCATCTTATATTACTTTGGTTGATTTCGCATAACGGTGAAAGCGTTGAATTAAACACTGGAAAAAATGTGTAATAAAATTGAGGATGTACACTGATATACTAAACGCTGTGAAAACACGATTCTTAAAAATTTCCACGATAGAAAAAAAACACAAACTTACCTCGAAATTTAAAAAGAAAACCGCTGTATTCAATACATACTTTACCATATATATATACCAATGATTTTTTTTATATCAACTGAATTGAATAGAACACGTATACTACTATACGATATACATTTTGTATACAGTTTGTAAAAAAACCTAAGCAAAATGAACCGTATTAGTACGGGATAAAAATTGAATTCGAGCTGAGGTAGGATCGACTCTTAAATTATATTATTCGTAAGTTTACTAACACCATTGGACCTTAAAAAAATGTGTTGTGTGAATAACAATTATATTATTATTAATTTGTGACGTATTTTTAGATGCGAGGTGTGCGAGAAGCGGTTTATGACTCGACAAAAGCTTGCAGAGCACCATAACGTGCACACGGGACGGACGCCCATCAAGTGCACACTCTGTGACGACACCTTTCGGAGATATTCCAACATGGTGCAGCACCGGTGTGTATTGTCCAATGTTTTATACAACTAAGACGTAATGTCGATTCCCTACAGAAGCGCAACAATCGTACTTATTTTATTGTATTATTCCGACATTTGTGGACCGATTTCGATGATTCTTTTTTTTATTGGAAAGTGGTATCTCAGTAGTGTTCCCATTCAAATTTGAAGAAAATATTCCACCTTTAAGGGTGGTAAATTAGGGGATGGATCCGTATTATTGGATTTCACTTTACGAATAGACGTAATTCCACGAACTTTTGAGGTCTTTTTTATAATATCTTGGCATGACACTTGACGTCAAGCTTCACTGGAAAGCCCACGTCAAGAAGAAACGAGAGGAACTAGACATTCGTTACAGAAATAATTATGTACTGGTTGCTTGGCAGACAATCTACACTATCTGTAAGCAATAAACTATTATTGTACAGGCAGATCCTAATGCCATTTTGGACCTATGGTATACAGCTCAGGGGTTGCACCGCAAAGACCAACATAGATGTTATTCAACGTTTCCAGAATGAAGTATTTAGATAATACAGAAATACGCCGAAGCCCACCAACGTAGGCTTCACCATCTCGTGAACATCGAGGCCATTCAATTCCTTGACCAGACAAATATCATAAGACGATTAAGACGGACAAAACCATATGAACTAATGTAGTGTTAATGTAATATTAAATTAATTAGTGCCAGTGACACTGAACAAAAAGTTTACATGATAAAAGTGTCTTCGTCTTAATAGATGATAAGAAAATTGCCAGTGGGTGAATTCTTAGGGTCGTATTCTAGAACTCTACTCAATGTTCAAGTCAGGACTTGAGCAGAATTGAGTATGATTTCAAGCACTGGAAATACGACCCTAATGGCAAGGGCTTGAGTATGATTTTCAGTGCTCACTGCAATACTCAAGTCCTGACTTGAGCATTGAGTAGAGTTCTAGAATACGACCCTTAGTATAATTTGTTTATTTATTAGATTAAGTGAAATGTAAATTACTTATTAGTTTTGTATTTGGCTGGATGGTAATGTATTTATGATGTACTTTATTGGTACCTTGTAAATAAATGAAAAAAATATATATATCAGCTCATCCCGCCCGCGCCCTTTTACCATCGGACATCCAGACATACGGCGGGATATCATCCTTACTTGATCGACATTCCCTTCAGGCGTACTAAGCGCTTTTCATCATCTTTTATTATGCGCACAGCCCAGGAATGGAATTCTCTGCCTGCGACTGTGTTTCCGCGCTCATACAACCCGAGTATCTTTAAAGTGCGACTGAATAGGCTCATCATCAATTATTAAAGCTTTGCAAGGCGTTGCAATTGTAATGAATAGGCGTCGCTTAATACCCGGCACTCGTCTTATTCGTCCTGTTACTTGATGTCATGAAAACGGTTTTAATCAACCTTGTAATGAATAAAATTTTAATTTTCCCCAACAGAGATCGCCATCACTTCCAAAAGAAATCCAAGGTGCGAGATTTCGTATGCCAATGCGGGGCCGTGTTCCATTCTCGAGCGAAGTTGCTCTGGCACAAAGAGACCCATGACGAGAAGCCGAAGGCCTGTCTGTACTGCAGTGACAAGTTTGTACACTCATCGTCGTTAACAAGACACGTGAGACGGACTCATAACGAATATTATTTGAGTGACAAGTTCAAAGGGAAGGCTGAGAATGTACCATGTCCCGTTTGTAAACAGGTGGGTCTTTTTAATATCTAGTAAGAAACAGAAATATAATAAAATTTAATTAAATAATTAATTCATTCTTTCATTTGAGTGATTAACTATTTGATTAATTTATTTTGGTCATTCATTAATTTATTTTGGTTATTCATTAATGGGAAATGTCAATCTCAAATGAAAGACTTATGTCAATTAAATTATTATTGAATTGATATTCAATTATTTTTTGTGAAATTACTGTGGAGTAATTTCACAAAAAATCAAAATCTTTGTATTAATAATTATAACAAACTAGTGGTAGTTTGTTATAATTATTAATACAAAGATCGAATACTCAGAAAAAACACTCAGAAAAATTCCTTTGATCCGGTCGGATTCGAACCCACGTCTTCTTGCATACCGTGCCAGACGCTATACCAACTAAGCCACGGAACGAACCAACGGACCTCACGAATTTTTCTATGTGCTTGCGTCGTGTCTTTGTACTTGGTCTTTCAACGATCAAAGGAATTTTTCTGAGTGTTCGATCTTTGTATTAATAATTATAACAGACTTATGTCAGTTTTAGGTAAACACCTATCGAACGTTACGTGTACGTACTCTGCTGGGCACTGTGTTCGGCGCGGCCTTGACCTAATAATTATTGTGTAATCAATGTCTGCGCCCGGTTGAAATGAGATGCCCGACACTAAAAATAATCCCAAAACAGACCCAAGTATTGAAATATCCCGAAACAAACACACAAATGAAAAATGAAAAAAGTTTATTTCTGTTTATTTAATTGTTTTTACATAAGGTTGGGACATCCAACTGTGACAGGAAGTCCCGCTCTTCCGTTATCCTTTAGTTGTAGGAAACAAACTCAATATAATACTTTCCTAAATTGCAAAAACTAATGAAACTAATTTAACATTTTACGCAAATGAGACTAAAAACTTCTTTCTTGAATATTTTTGAAAGACCCATATTTAATACTCAATATATTTATTGCATTCATATGGTATACATGTCTTAAATTTAAAATAATGCTACACATATGAGCCCTTTATTAGGGATAACAATATAACAGCAGAGGTAGACCGAGGTTTCAATTATTAATTAAAATTGTTATTTATCAAATAATAATATTAAAAAAAAAGTCATATAATAACATTGACTTCAATTATATGGACGTCGGGTGCGCGCTAAAAAGTGTCCGAACTTATAGGGCGTTAAAATCGTATACAGAGCGTCATTCACGCTTTAGTCTTCGTTTGTTTGACTGACAGCGAAGCAAGCAAAATTAGACAGTACTGCGATGACATTACAATTTAAATTCAACGTTTTAGCTTTTTCATATTCCTTTACATGTCACTACGTTTAAATAGGTTGACTTGGGACATTTTTTTCGTGGTTTTTGTATTAGACCCGTCGTCCATTTATTTGTAAGTCAATGTATAATAATAAAGAAATATGTCATATTATGAGTAGAATTATTTCACTTGAAAGTTTGAATTTAATTAGATTACAGTAGCATAACTTTATAGTATATAATTAACATTTATTTATTATTCAAATTTATCATAATATTATTTCATTTCATCAAAGTATTCATTTAAATTGTAACAGCATTTATTAATAAGATGTAATTTTTTACATCTTATTAATAATATCGTGTGACCATGACAGTCAACCGTGACCATGGGACCTGTAAAGGGCCCGAAACGTCGGTTTGTTTGAAAAAACAAATATACGCGATTTAAATCCGGAAAAATAGTTTCATTTCCTATGTGTAACAATCACGAAAACCTAAGAACTCGATATGTAATTTTAATTTATTTAGAAACAGTGAATACTTTTCCTCGTTTTTAATAATGGGCGGGAGCTCATTGAATATCCTCACCGACATTTATATCCCACTACCCGCACTGTTACCGTCGTTATAATTAAAAAAGTGTTCGCAAGAAATGCGATATTCATGATTTCACTAGAGATAGTCTGACATAGTGTTACTATATAATCTTTCTGCAGGTGTACCTCAGAACGAATCTGCGCGCCCATCTCCTAACGCACAGCGGCAAACGTCCGTACCTCTGTATAGTGTGCAATAAGGCGTTCACCACAAAATGGAACCTCAAACTCCACCGCTGGACACATATGAGCCGCTCAGCGAAGCCATACAAATGCTCCTTATGCAAAGGCGCCTTCATCCGCCAAACAGAATACATAGCGCATATGAACGCACATAAAAGCGTTCGACCCTATACATGCAACTACTGTGGCTGTCAATTCATTAGGAAATATAATTGTCAAAGACACGTCCGTGAACACGAGATGGCGAAAAAATATGTGTGTAAAGTACCGGAGTGCGGTAAGTCGTTTTTTAGAAGTTACTACTTGTCCGAGCATATGAAAGTGCACAGTGGTGCAAGGCCGTTTTCTTGTTCGATTTGCGGGAAAACATCGAGTAACAAAAGTAATCATAACAAGCATGTGAAGATCCATCATGCGAGGGAACCGATCGCTACTGAAGCGTAATTCTTGGGGTTTTAAGGAGTATGCTCTGGGCGCCACACTTTTATTAATATTACAAATGGTTAATTCATGTTAAGAACGCAGAAGATACTAGCCATATCACTGTTATTAATCCGTTCATGGAGAGAAAATGTCACTATTTTTCTTAGTGTAGTAGTGCTTATATTGATTCAATGTAAAACAGTGAATTTTGTCAGTATGTCGTTGATATTTCTCTATGGAGAAACAGTAAGCTGTGAACTACACAGAATACACTTGGAAATTGCAATGGAAAGTTCGTAGTTGGTTTTTGAGTACCATGTACTATAATATTCTGATATTTCATTTTACGGTTAACGCAGTTACTGTCTATGAGTAGGTTAAATTCGTGTGTCAGTTTGAATTTCGTACTGCATCTCACACGTCATGTTAAAGTTACGTGGTTGGTGAGTTTGTATTTCGAACTACATTTGACGTCATTTTAAAGCCATGTGATTGGTCAGTTTGTACTGCATTCTTAACGCGAATTAACTATGCAGGGTATAACAAAAACGTGTATAAAATACTTTGGGGTGCCATGACACAACTTGTTGCGCTTTTTTGTTTACACCTGTAGAATGTATTGGAATATGTACCTGTCATTTCCGAAATAAAAGAGAATGGTATTTTTTTCTATTTACTTATTTATCACCTGACTTTAAAACGAAGAAAAGTTTTCTTATTACCCTTACAGCCGTAATGGGTTTTCTTCGTAAAAAGATTTTAAGCATTTTTTTCATGTTTTCTGCCAATATATTAAAAATTACTTGTTTTATTAAAATATTTTCATGTCTAGAGCATTGTCCAAACGCCCTACTTGTAAATAATTAGTTAAATTTTGAATTGAAACGTGTAAATACGGACCAAAAGTGTAAATTGTCGAGGAGTGTAGGTAACGCATTTTACAGTAATAAATAACAAATTTTACGTCACACGACAAAATTTATTGTGTAGTAGTTAAAAAAATGTGATTTTTATATCATTTGTATTTGTTTATTTGTAACAGGTATTGTTCAGACTGCTTAATTAATGTGTTACAGGCCTACCGCTTAACTTAGTTGGCTCCTGATGTAGCTGCGAGATAATATCAACAAGATTTTTCTGACTATATTCAGTAACAAGTCACTCCTCCCTCACCGCGCAGCCACCTCAGGAACCGACTCAGTTAAGCGGTAGGCCTAACAGTGTCTCGATTGCAATATACAATTATACATATATACACACTTACCTGCGCATTTAGCTGAACAAAAAGAAAGTGATAATATTAAATAGTACTGTTTTATAAATAAATAAATAAGAAATAAACATAAAGTAGCACTTATATTATCAACTTTTAATGGACTTAGTCTTACTCAATCTTTATTGGAAAAAATACAAATTAAAGAAACTACATTTTTGTAGATTTTGGGACGAAGGAGGGGATCTGCTTACGTTCTTCGTCCGAAACAATTACTGTCAAATGAGTAATACTCGACCAATGAAGCTTCATTCGTATCATTGCGTCTTTTAATTTTGTCGGGTATTATTTGATTTATTTCATGTCAGACGGAGAACGAGAAGTAGATTCCTGAAACGGCTGAAAATTTAGAATTTATGACAGTTTAACATTTTCAATTTATATGAAATTTACAAGAACGCGAAATCATCCTCGAACCACTCGACACGTATTAGTAGGAACTTAAACTTAAATTGATGAAAAAAAATGACAGTCGCCATATTGATTACTCTCAAATTAGACTTAAAATGAGGAACGGAAAAATACCGGACAGACAAAAAACACAGTACACTGAAGATTTTACAAGAGTTTCACTAAATGTGCCAGTGTTATGTATTTCGTCGGGCTCTGGGGCGGTATGTTCAGATAACTTCTTAAAAAAGTTTTAATGACCCAAAGAAACGGAAAGAGTATGGACTGACATAAAAAAAGAAACTTACTGCTGTCATATAAATTTAAAACACAATCACAGTTTAAATTAATATGTTAAGTTAAATTGAAAATAGTTTATGTAAAGAAGGAATATAATAAAGATACCTGACGTATAGACGTCACCATAGGGTAACTGTCCTTACATTTGCACAAAGGCAAAGCTATCTACTAACGCGCCGATTGCAGTGCATTTTTATATTGTTACGTAGGTATCGAAATTATCTAATTTATCCATACAAATTTATTACATAAGCATTTTTTTAAATACAAACAAATAATGAAAAAAAATATGTACAATAACACGTTGTGCGTGCGCAGCGTTCAGTGTTAAAAACATTTACCACCAAAAACATAATCTTATCCAATAATACCTCAAGAATTTGCGCGAAAGCAATAATTTTTAGCCTTATTAATTAGCCGTAGTTTACTTCTAAATAGAGCTTATTTATCAGATGATTTTAATATTGAATTACATGTAAAATATATTGGGAGTATGTATATTGAAATTAATACTATAGAAAATGCATGGATTGCTAGCGATCCAGTATTGCTTATAAAAACAAATGAACAGTTAGTCGTTTCATTGATTTGTACTGGTCATATGAATCTACAAACGACAAGCTCATAAACGTGGAGTCTATTTTTAAAACAAGTTATCGACCCCTTTAGCACGAGTGGACTTAAGATACAACAAGTCGTACAATAGTTATTTAAAAAAGGTGAACCAGTTATAGAGGAAATATTATTTGCACCGACGAATGTTATCACTTGGAACGGCTGATCCTTTCTATTACAATTAGTGTAATAAAATCATTAAAATTTCATTTACTTAAAGCGTACGCGGATTTAATGATCTTGGTCCATTTCAGTTTTGAATTATTTCTTTACTCATCAGGTCGTATATATTTTTTTACTCTGTAAAATACAAACTACTGATTTTTTCTTACTCAGCAAAGTTAGACCCTCGTGAAGATTATCAAGTTCAAAGTTAAGTACCAGTACGAGTTGTTTGCGTTGTGAAGATGGGTCACTCTTTTGTCCTATTGTACTCGAAAGGTACAGAGAAAAGACGAATCGGTGCAAATAATATTTCAATTAACTCCTAAATTAAGGTCAATCTTGCATTATAGGAGTGTTTAATATTTGATACCGAATGCATTAAAATTTTTGTATTGTTGTGCCCACATCCGAAAAAGTTTCTGAATGTATTGCCAGTGCCGAATTTACCTATGATGCACACGAGTGCGGGGCCTTCGGGGACCTAGAGCGCAGCTCGCAACGCCTCCTAAGAGATAGATGCAGGATCGCTCGCGGCGCACGCGAACTAATCGGGTTATTGCTTCCTAATATCCTTCATAATTGCACCATTTGTTCCCGAATTTCCTATCACTGGGGAAAATGTAAATAAGTATCTTATTTCGATACCTCCAATGAACGCCGCACCAGCATTATTTTTTGGTCATTTCTGTTATTTTTGTAAACAGCCATCCATATTTATTTACTAATGTTATGCTCCCCGAATATTGGAAAAAAATAAGAATAATGAAAAAAAAAAACGAATTTTGTAAAAAAAGAAACAAAAAACAAAATAAAAACAGAACAGGTACAAATATTAAGTTAGCGTAGTGTTATTTGGAGATATCGTTTTGATTGATTATCTCTCAATCTACATGGGCTAGCGCCGGCGCTGAATATTATTACCATTTCAAGTAGAACCATTTCTAAATGTCACGTCAGTTGTTTCGATAAATGTTCACAGTCGAAAAGTAACTTATTTTGTATAAGCACTCCTCCACTACGGGACTTTGCTTTGTTTCAACAAATGTGTCTACTTGTAGACGATTGGAGACATTGCAACATTGGTAAAGCAAGTATGGTATCAATAGTTGTTACGTCCATTTGTGTTGTGGGATAAAACATGGCCACATGCTCGCATGCATTGCTAATATTTATATCACGGTCTTTGTTGCAAATGACCATTATATTAATGTATAACAGTGTTTTGTATAATGTAATTTGTAGTTGCAATAATTCCACTTATAAAGGAAAAAAGAAATATATATCATTCCAGCGTAAGTCAAGGCATTCGAAAAGGATGCACTTATACAAGAGGAAGAAACGGAAATATACTATCTCGCTCTGACGGATAATCATGTCCCTCTTGCACTAATGGTTGCCTTAAGTCTGAAAATAAAGTTTGTCGTGTGGCGTTGTGTGTAACGAGATAACGTTAGTCAAATTACTAAAGGGCATTTCAGTATAGGTACCCCGCTACTGTACTTTGTATTATGTTTACCACTTAGACTCGTGGGGATATGTTTAGTAGTACATTAGAAAGAAAAAGTATAATTAATTCATTCTGTGCTGTTCGAAATTCAAACTGACTAATAAAAGGCTTTATAGTATGTGATTGGTTATTTTGAATTTGGTACTGCATAAAAATGGGTATTTTACAATTGTCGTGTTTAGGTATTGCACAGTAAGGTCCATTATCTTACCAACGCGGAGCAGTGAGGAGATGTGTAATGTAATGTTACTGTATTTTGCCATCCTCAAGTAGCTCCATTAAAGTACCTAACTAAACGTAGTAGATGAAACAGCTGTTCTTCGCTCAATAAATGTGACAATAATGATGAAACTACGTAAGGTCGGGGTCGATTCGAGTGAAAACAACGCGGTTAAAACACGCAAATAATTTCGCAAGTCGCGCTGTATTTTTGTCTCTATTATGAGTTTATATTGTTGGAAGCCGCTAGCGACCGCGTCACACGTTTGTAAAGCTGTTAGTTCTTATTGTGGCCGCTAGAGGCGCTGTACAATTTGCTATAAAATATATTTGACTAACTCATGATAGAGGTATTGGACGATTCATTCGGTTAGATTATTAACTTATCGAGCGAAAATGCGCGTGCATGGCTTTTGTTTCAACCGAAATATTTGTCCAGAGCCTGGCCTTCAGAGTCATGGAGGTCACTCCATGACTATGAAGTCGTCTTAACTGTGATTTAAATAATATCATCTTTTGTGCAATTGTAATATTCATTCGTAATGTTTACAATTTGATACTAAACATATCAACGCGAGGCCTTAGCTCAAGCACTCATACAAATGTATGAACTTGTACATATTATGATTATTTTACAATTTAGTTATATTTATTTTTAATTTTCTTATTGTTAAATTCGGTTAATTACTTAGACAAAAAGTTAAATTTTTAGTGACCACAAAAAAAAACATTGACACAGAAATAATGCATCATCTTAGGTTTTCACGGTCCCTTTTTAATACTGTTAATTTTTGTCATTCAGTTCCATATTGAGGGGCAGTTATATAGAATTCACGAACGATAAAGGGGCACTATTAAATGACATCTAATTGAAGAATTTCCTTACTCTGCTAGGTGGTTTACAACTCTACCTCAATCTATACCTTTAGCATAGCCTCATTTCTAAAATTTTTTCTTCAACATCATTTTCGCTTTTCAAAAAATAGGAAATAATCGACAAAAATGTGGAATTACTTTTTATTGTGATAATAAAGAGATATAAAAAAATTAATTAAAAAGATTTTATATAACTGAAATGCATATTTATAATATCTATTATATCGAACTCAAATTCATCTGCAATGAACGAAAAGTCCATAAATAGTATAAAGCAATGATGAGAAAAACACTATGTATTATCATGATGATTTATTTCTGTGATCAAAATTTTACAAAAAGC